CTCTCTCATCGATGTTTCTAACTCTCTATCCCTCTCCATTCTTCTCTGTAAAAAAAATCAATAAAATGTATTTTTTTTAAAAAAAGAATAAGGCTGCTACCAACCGTCGTTGTGCAGGTTTTTGTCTAGACCCAAGTTTTGCATTTCTGAGATTAATACTGAGGGGTGCAATTATTTCGTTTTCTATACAAACTGCCCAAATGTTTTCCAAGCGGCTGTACCATTTTATATTCCCACGTGTGGATATCCCAGTTTCTCCACATCCTCGCCAGCATTTAGAGTCATCACTATTTTTTATTCTCATCGTTCTGTTAGTGATAACTCACTGTGGTTTTAATTTGCATTTCTCTAATGGCCAATGATGTGGAGCACCTCTTACACTTTTTGATCATCTGTTTACATCAGGGAAATGTATCTTCATCTCTTTTGCTCATTTTCTAAGTGGGTTATTTGTATTTTTACTCTTGAGTTTTGAGTTCTTTGTCAGATGGGTGGTTTGCAAATATTTCCCCCCTCCCCCTAGCTTGTCATTTATCCTCTTCACAGGGTTTTCCACAGCAAACGTTTTTAGTTGTGATGAAGTCAATCTATAGATTTTTTAAAACGTGGACTGGGCTCTTGGCGTCGCGCCAGAAACTCTTCAGTATCCAAGCCGTAGTTCCTGAGGGCCTTCCCGTTACCTGTGGAGAGGTTGGTAGTGTCACATTTTCCGTATAAATCTGTGGTCCATTCTGAGTTCATTTTTGTGAAAAGCAAGAAGTTTAGGTTGAGATTTATTTTTATGCCTACAGACATGGCGGCGGTGTTCTTTCTATTTTAACTTCCAGAATTATCCATAGAGTAATACAGAATATGGTTTTGTGGTATTGTACCGTTGACCCTTTAACAATATGCGTTTGGACTGCATGGGTACACTTCAATGTATTGGAAAATATTTTTGAGATTTTCTTACTACCGTGAAGCAATTGTGTCAATTACACTAGACCAGCGGTCGCCAATTGGTGGTCTGCGGGCCGCTAGTGGTCCGGGAGGTCCGAAAGGTTGGCGACCGCTGCATTAGACCACACAAAGCAATCATATTGCTGCTGCTGCTTCATTATCAGTGCCTGAATCGTTGCATATGTAAATAAATATGAATGCCTTTTTCACAGTATCTTTTCATGTTCCAGGTCTAGTCTTAGTAATACATAGAATATCTACAGTGTTTCTGTATCACATAGGACAATTTTGATGTAGGTGCTGACAGATCATTCATCTTATAAGCAGACAACATAAACTTATAGTATCGATAAATACAGTACAATACTGTAAATGTATTTTATGATTTCCTTAATGACATCTATTCTCTAGCTTGCTTTATTGTGATTATACAGTATATAGTACATAGAACACACAAAATTTGTGTTACACACCTGCTCATGTTATTAGTGAAGCTGCTATCAACAGTAGGCTATTAGTGGTTAGGTTTTGGAGGAGTCGAAAGTTCTATACAGAGTTTTGACTGCTGGGATCAGTGCCCCTAACCCCCACATCGCTCAGTGAATGGCATACCCATATGTTCTGTATGATGATTATGCAAAAAATATGTGTTTACTATTAATATTATCCTTTTGTTATTTGTGAGAGATTTTTCAACACAAATTCCCAACCATCATTACTAAACATTATTTCTCAACTTATAAAAGTATTTATACTAGCAGCAATTAACTGTGGATGGTGGCATTATGGATAATTTCTACTCTTATACCTTTCTGTGGTCTTTAAGTTTTCTGCACACATAGTCAAGCAGATACCACAGTGTTTTAAATGTTATCCTGGATAATTGGGGAGTAGGGGGCTCATGTACTTTCTATGGGGTAAGATCAGGTTTAGAAAGAATGTTCTTTCTGGCTCATGTTATCTTCTAAGCCACAAGATACCTTTTTTCCTTTGTGCCCTAAAACATGGGGCTACGGTGTTTTTCTCCTCCTGTAGTTTTATTCTTTGTTATACCATCTTGCTTGTGTGACAGCTAAATGAAGCAGGGCAGAGAAATCAATGAGTCATCTTGGCATCGATTTAGTCTCTTCTCAGGCGTCAGAAAAGACGGGAACTGTGAACTGAAAACTTCATCTTGTGTCAGAGTTTTTTAATTGTCTCTCTAACGAGCTTGTCTATAGCTCGAGCTTGCTAGAACTTTCCAGAGCGGGCGATACTGTCAGCCTGAAAGGAAAGTTTGCTGAGATAGAGAGTGGGGGCAGGGAGGGTACGCAGGACCTCACGAAGTGTGAGGAAAGGAGCAGTTCTTTCGCAGCCAGGCCTTGGGAACTGCTGTGGGGCTGGGCATGGCTGTTCCTGCCGAAACATGCTGCTGGTCTGGCCCGTTCATGTGGCTTTTGCAGAAAACTGCAGGAACCTCTGTGCCGGGGTCCAGCTGCTTCCCCATCAAACAGCAGGAGGAATCTGCCCTTTAGAATATAAAATTATTGCTTGAAAGTCAATTTTTCTTGAAGCCAGTGTGTTTTGAGATGATAAAGGACAATTTAAAACCAATTAAGATGATCACTTGATATGCCATATTAAGCTTTCTCAAAAAATGACTTTCAAAGGATTCGTAGCTATTAAATCTCATTCACAGAATTTCCTTGTGGGTCCTTACAATTCCTACAAAGGCTAATGGGGTCGTGTTTGTGTCATAGAGAGGAAGGTGTATGCAGGTGGAGCATAGCTGCACTAGAATGTAGCCCCTGAACCTGGATGTGTGGAGCCTGGTCAGGCAGGACCCTGGAGCTGTCACACAGCTTGGTCAAATTTGCTCAGAGACTCCTCTTTGGTTCAAGAAACTAAGACAAAACAGGCTAAAGATCATGGGAACAGGCCGCCATCTGTGTTTGTCATTGAGAATGGGGTAGGGGGGGCTGTTTTCCTCCAGGCAAAGAACTTTCTCCATTTTCACTGTTCACTGCTTTTTCCCTGCTGCTCCTCGGGTCCCTGTTAGAAACAGCCCTGTGTGCCAGTCGATGGCCGCTCAGCGGTGGGCAGACAGTGCTAATTAGGCCCTGGAGGGCGTTTGTGGCCGTGCAGACGGTGGGGGCAGCGCTCTGCCCAAGTCCGCGCGGGGCTGGACCCAGCGCCACACGCTGCCCGTCTGTCCCAGGGTGGCAGTCTGGGTAGGGAAGCACAATAGCAGGATGCGTGCGTGTTTCTGTCTCATAGCCCCGAGCTCGATGCCTAACGTGTATTGTGTGTTGAACTACAAACCAGACGCCTTGTTCTCCTGCAGGAGGCCGGCTGGTCCTGCAGAGTTTATCTGTTTAATTCTCATTCCGTCCAATTCACCCATTTAAGTGTACAGTTCAGGGCCTTTCAGTATATTCAGAGTCAGTGCAATTAACTTTAGGACCCAAAAAAGAAACCCCACACCCACCCTCCAGTCTGCTTGCCCCCGACCTGGGCAGCTCTTACTCTACTTCCTGCCTCCATGGGTCCACCTATTCTGCCCATTTCCTGTGGAGGGAACCCTGAACACGGTCTGTGGCTGGCCTTTCCCTCCGCGCATTTTCCAGGTCCACCCTGACTGTAGCCGTATCAGGGCCGCGCAGCGAAGCGCCAGGGTCTGTGAGGAAGACAGGGAGAGGGGAAACCTGAGCCAGGGCCTTGACTGGATTCCCTGGGGAGGAAAGGGCGAGGCCGGGCCGACGGCATGAGGATGGGCTCCTGCGAACAGTCCCAGGGGATCTGGGGCACAGGCCGGGTGGTGAGCTTAAGGCAGGTGGGTGGTGACCCTGAGTGTGAGGCTCCATCAAGGAGGGGTTGGGAGGTGGGCTCTGGGTGCGTGCTTTGCTTATTCATGAATTTAACTCCTGCAGGCGAGTCCTCACCATCTCCAGGAACCGGCTGCCCCTGCAGTGGGGCAGTCCTTCCAGGTGAGCTGGGCCCCAGATGTCAGACCATCAAAAATACAGAACAAAAAGACATGCTTCATACAGCTGATCTTTGGCATAGGCGCTGATTCATGTCTTGATCAAGCCGTTATTTCCAAGGCTGCATATGTTACAGAAAGACTCGATTGGTGGCTGTGTATCTTATTTTAAAAGTCTTATGTAGCTTGAGTGGTGTGATGGTTAGACTGCTGCAGAGGAAGAAGAATTTATTTCGGTAAAGTCACATTGCCACCAAATGGGCATCGTTAAAGTTTTCTGTAAGAAGTTCCCCAAAATAAAAGGCCATCTCATATACTTTTGGAAGAAACCGGTGCTCTGTGGTGTGTGTTTGAGCAAATACAGGTGTTCTAAAATATAATAACTTCTCATTTAACACCTAATATACTCAATCCTTATTATTAGCAGGTTCTGTATTTATGAATTCACTTATTTGCTAAAATGTATTTGTAACCCCCAAATTGATACCTAGTAATTATAAACTAATTACTGCAATCCTGTGGCACACCAAAAAAAAGTACATTTTGCCAGTCTGACCAAAAAATAGATCTAGTTTTGATTCGTTCACACCAGATAGGAACTATTGTATTGGCTATTGTCACTTTTTTATTTAGTCAGTGCTCCTGAGTAAATAGTCAGGTATTGCATGTTTTAAAAACTCTTGGGTGACACCAGTGGAAAATTGTTGCTCCAGGAACCTCGGATGAGTAGAATCCTGCAATACTGTCCTTTTGTGGCTGGCTCATTTCACGGAGCGTAAAGGCCTCAAGCCTCGTCGATGGAGGGTGTGTTAGAATGTCCTTCCTTTTTATGACTGAATAACATTTCATGAAAAAATGATTCCTTGACCTGTTTTCTAGGAGGCACTGTCCTCCATTCAGTTGGGGAAACAGACTCAGATCAGAATAAATAAGTACAGTTGACCCTTGAACAACCTCTGGAACCAGTGCTTCTTAGAGAGTATTTTTCTTCTGTGGACTATTTGGTTAAGGTAGAATCCGTCCCACTTCAGGCAACACTGGGGGTCACAGGAGCAATGTGTCAGTCCTCCCAGGATGCGCGGCAAAGGATGCATTTCAGGACCTGTCTCATATTTCTACAAGAAGGTCCTAATCGCCGGGGTGGAGTTTAATGTGGTGCAGAAATGGCGGGCAATGCCTGCCCTGGACCCCGAAGGCCTCGATTTCATGGTGATTGCTAGCCGCCGATGATGGTGATGTCACTGTGTTTGGGGGTCACTGCCCAGGTGGCATCCTCTCCATGCTGCGCTCGTTAAAGAATGAGTAGTGGGACAGTACGCTTTCTGTGTGTGTGAAGTTTCAGTTTGTGAGCTTTTCCATTACTCCTCTACCAGAAAGTTCCCCTGAACACATGCCCATCTGCACACTTGCAAGCTCCCTAAATTTCCACCAAAATTAAAACTCACCCAGCATGCCAAGTCCCCCCCAACCCCCCCAGAGCTCCCGAAAGAAGTTTCCTCTAGGGCCAGCCCTGTGCCCACCCCCAGGTGACAGTCTCCCTGCTTCTGAGACCAGAGCTCCAGCCACTTTCTTCCAGAAACCTTGATGGGTGGGAGTGTGGGGGATCCAGAGCCAGGTCGGGAAGGCCACCGGACAGATTTCTTCTTATGCTGCTGTTGGTCTTGGAGCAAAGCTTTCAGATGTGGCTTTCACCTGAGAATAAATTAACCAGGCAGCCTACTTGAGTTAGATGGTTCACCTGTTAAATAGGAAGGGAACCCAGCCTCGTTGATGACAGCTTGATTCTCAGAGCTGCTTCTGTCGGTGGGAAGGTGCTTCCTAATAGCTCAGCTCTTAGTAAATGAGCAGATGGGAGTGGACAGCCCTCTGGTCCCCTGTTGCATGTTAGGTTGGTTTACAGTCACCCTATGAATAGGATCAGAGCCTGCTGTCTGCTTTGGTGGTTAGATTCTGCTAGAATTCTTACGAACCGCGGTGCATGCCACTCACCATGGTGGTCTCTGAGCCTCAGTGTGTGTGTGTGTGTGATGTCAGCACAGCCACACGAGCACGGAGCTCCCTTTTCATGATCTGAGCTTCTCTACAGTGAACAGACCTGCTCTCTGCTCTTGACTCCCTGCTGACACGGAGGATGCTTTGTTGCTGTTATTCTGCCAAAGGAAAAAATGTGGCGCGATTTGCACCCTAAACGGTCACAGTAGGGACCAATTTCCTGCTTCCAGAGCTGCTGCTGCAGCGGCCAATACAGTGAGAGCAGGCGCCACTTCACATTTCTAGAAGGATCTCACGGAGGCATAAAACTGCTAGAGTCCGGGAGCCCCAACCGCGAGCATGGGGAACGCGCATCCCAAAGGCAGCGGCAGGGGCAGTGCGCCGCCCCGCCCCGAGCTGTCCTTCTGTGGCTCCTTTCCCAGGAGATGGGGCGAGAATGTCTTTCTAAATAACGAGCTGCTAACCTCCAAGATCCTGTCCATGCTGCGGCCACAGTCAGAGCAGGGCTTCCAGACGGGCCGCCTCCGCTACCCTGCCCCCTTCCTCAGCACCAACTCTGTCCTTGCCTCCGCCACAGCGCCCGTGAAGGAGTC